AATAATTATGATGGTCAATGGATAAGAGCAAAATAAATGTTCTAGACATCTAAGGTCATGTAGTACTACAGAAAGCTATAGTAAAGGGTAGTGAAGGTGGTTACGTTAGTTGCTATACATCAGCTATCTAGATTAATATTGAAAAGGTTAAAGTTGGGCAAAGGAGTTGACGAGTGAATGGGTTAAGGTCAGGTTAGGTAAAGGGGTTCGACCAAGTGAAGGATAAGTATGCATCTGAGGAAGGAGAATAGGTTGTCAAAGCAGAAAGTGTGAGATTCTGTAAGGATGTCTGATAGGTCGGGAGGTCAGTGAGGGAGGATGGGTGGGGGAAAACTGAGGTATGGGTGGGGGAAAACAGAGGTATGGGCTGCATCAAAGCATGGACAGGACAATAGAATGTGTGGAAGTGAAAGAGGGATATTACACAGGGAACATAAGGATATATCAGAATGTGACATCAGATAGGAGCGTGTTAGACAGATGTGGCCAGTGCGGAAGTGGGTGAGAGCCGTCTCCTAACGTCTGTTCTGATGTTTGGAGCTGAACAGGAGGAGATTAATAGCTTTACAGTATGTAATTCATTAGTGTGGAGACGACCAGAAAGATTGCCATCAGTTATACAAGCTCTTAAAGTGGGGGTAATAGTCCGTAGCTGGAATACATGAGAAACGTTGTTGGTTTGATGTGGACATGGCAGTGAAGTGTGCTAGAGTATCTGCCTCTTCACTGCCAAGGATTCTAACATGGCTGGGCACCCAGCAAAATCTGATAGGTTTATGGTGTGTGGATAGGTAGAACAACCAGTTCTGGATCTTACAAACAAGGGGGTTGGTTGAGTGTATTGACTTTATGAGAGATAATGAGTTAACCCCTTTACAACGGGTCATGCCCTGAGGTGTCACAACAAACCACTCAATCTGTGGCATGCAGCTGTACGGCACATTGCCACTGCTCTCCAGAGCGTAGAGTTTTTTTTGTTTTTTTCCTTCACCCATCATCAAGGGGTTAAGGGAATCAGTAAAAATAGTGAAAGTGGAAGAAGGGAGTGAGTATATATGTTTTAAGGCAAAAAGGAGTGCATGCAGTTCTGTAGTAAGGACACTGTATTCAGGAGGGAGGTGGTATTTGAAAGTGTAAGTTGGGAAGGTTATTGCAAAACCAGCACCAGAGGTGGATTTGGAGCCATCAGTGTAAACATGAATACTGGAGGAATGAAAGGAGACATGATCAAGAAAATGGGTGAGAAGGACAGCAGGGGGAATATTTGATTTTGGTGGGTCAGGGAAAACAGAGGAGCAAATACAGGGGTGAGGTATAAGACATGGAGGGACAGAATGGGCAGAAAAGGAAGAGGTCAGAGATGGAGAAAAGAGGAATGGGAGAGGAGGGTATCCATGTGAATGGAGAAAGTAGTAGGTAAGCATGGAAAAGAAGCAAAGGTAGGCTATAGGGATTGTGGGATAGTTTGGTGAGGGAAAGTTGGTGGAATCAAACACAGCATTGGAGAGAGAGAAGTGTACGGTGTTGAGGGAGAGATGGGATGCCTGATTCAGTGTACAGGCTCTCAACTGGAGAGGAGCAGAAGGCACTTAGGGCTAAGCAAAGAGTGCAGTGGTGGACTGTATTAAGATGAGCAAGGAGGGAGATCAAGGCAGAGGAGTAGATATGGCATCCATAATCAAGAGTGGAGAGGATCAAGGTAACATGAAGGAGGAGAGTTTTGTGATCTGAACCCCAGGATATATAGGACAGAGTTTGTAAGATTCAGAGATGGTGGCAAGCTTTTTCTTTAATGTAAAAGATATGGTCTTGCCAGGACAATTTGGAGTCAAAGATGGTTAAATCATCAACATACAGTGATGACTGGGCTCCAGGTGGTAGAACTGAAACAATGTCATAAACAGCAAGGAGAATAAAGTGGTGCTGAAAGAAGGATGATGTGGAAGAGGCAATTTTGACCAGGAAAGTGCATTTGGAGAGGAAAGACTTTATAAAGACACCCAAGTTTCCATATATGCCCATGGAGAACAGTTGTTGGAACCACTACTGACCTGGCTGAAATAGCCCCCTAGTTCATTAGCGACTTGGAGAACATCAGACATGAGAGTATCTCAAATATGAAGAACTTGGGCTGGATGGGGGGGGGGGGGGGATGTTTCCTTGATAGTTCTAGGGATTGGCCACAGGAGTTGGTGATAGAATCACCCCAAAGAGTGTGGCTGCAGTTAAAATAACCAACTATGAGGAAAGGTGGTTGGACTTGGGAAATTAGATTTTCAAAGGCAACAAAATCAAAGGGGTGGGAAGGGGAGAAATGGACAGGGGTAGACAACTAAAATGGGAATACTGTGCCCGTGGCTCCCTCAGGCCATTCAGGACTGGCACAAAGTCAGCCTTTCATCCTTTCAGCACAGCTCTCACACCTTAGAAAGTGGATAGTAGAAGGGATTGGGGAAGGGATGGAAACGAAAAAGCAAGATGGGGAAAAAGACCATGCAAAATTAGTTGAGTCAAGGGCCGAGTCCCAGTTTTCACCTCCTACGCCCCCAACAACAATGGGCAAGGGATTGGGGAGAGGGGAATCAATAATTATGATACTGACAGATATAATTCAGAAAAATAACAACCCTGACAGGAGCATCTTGGACCATACTGAACATATATGGTGTCTGTGGAAAAATCACAAGCATGGATAACATAAAATTACCCAGTCGCTATAGTCTTGGCTGTGGCATATACAATTTTGTGGGTAATGATGCTAAAAAGAATATCTTAGCCTACTTTTGAGGGGCTACAAGTCTTGAACAAAGGCAGCCAGGGATAAGCAAGTGCACAGCTGTTTACTGTTCACATCTTATAGTAGGCTTAACTGCACTTGACATCATCCCAGTATGAGGGGTGATCTTCCATGATGTACTAGGATGTCATGGGATGTCATCCCACCATGAATGACTTAAATGAAAAAAAAATCTTACATTATATGACAAAGAACAGATTTTGCTATACAGTACAATCTAATTCAACTAGTAATCATGATTTCAGAGACAAATATCAGATTATTCACCTGCAGAATGTCATATATTACTGTAGTAACTCCCCCCCCCCCAACCCCTTGCTTGTTGTTGCTGTGGGGCTTAGGATATGGAGACTGAGGCCCAAGGTAGGGGATCAGCCCTGCCTTGGACCAAAGCCTTGCCTCAACTAATCCTGCACGGTCTTTTCTTCTCCCCCTTTCCTTTAACTTCTCTTTTTCATCCCCTTCTTCTGTCCACTTATCCTAATTCAGTCATTTTTACCCTTTTTGCCACAATACTTTCCCTTAATACTGTATGACCTTTATTTATTTGTTTTAACCATTAACCATTACTGTAGTAGCTTCCCAAATATTATTTACATTTATCAAAATAATAAAAAATGAGTAAAGTTCTATTGCTCTTGTCCATCATAAATTAAATTCATTTTGAAAAAAAAAAAAAAAAAAAAAAAAAAGAGTCTGTAAAGTATAAAAATTTCTCATGTGGTGTATTCATCTAGGTATTCATTAGACCATATTTGAGGGTTAGAATAAGGAGAAAAGCATTTATATAAAATATTCAAGATGTGATCTTGTAAGTCTTATAAAATAAGGCTATTACTTAAAGGTACATTTCAGAGAACAAAAAAAATCTATCTAATAATTTTTCACTATGTACATGGCTTAGAGGTTCCCTTTGCACACAGGGGGTTACTTACCAAACTCAACAATTCCTACAGCCTGCACTATGCGGGATACTTGAAGAAGTACCAAGTGCTGTTCAAATCCTGCAAAAAGAAATATTCTATGACATTTGACTATAATTGTTATTACATTTTAACACCATGCTGCCAGGAAATTTAGTACTCACTGTAATATTGTTTTGTGAAATATGTCTTTACATGCAAGTGGCTCCACAAGTGTTTGGCCATAAGGGAGGCAATTAGTAAATTAGATTTCACCTTCCCTCTAGTTTTCAGGGATTATTTTTTTTTTTATTAAAGCTATCAATATTGATGATTTTATTACTAGCATATACATAAATACTATAATGCTATTGACATTATTAACAGCAATATCAGTTAACAGGAAATATTTCCAAAAATTAAGTAAAAGTATGAATGGGTGACATTAGTACTACTAATTGCCTCATTTGCGACTTGTTGTTTGTGAAGCTATCTCCATGTAAACACAATTAATAAACTAAACTTACTGTGGGCATGGCAAGTACATGATGTATATGCCATCCCCAGTAGCACAGGATTTTTCTTTTACAACATTCATATTTCTAAAATAATAGCCTTTTTCCCTTAGAATCTGTGGATGCACTACTGAGTATATTCAGATTCCTCACTCAATCTAATCTAAGTCAGTTGAGATTGAAAGTCAGTTCAGCACAGCCTCTAAAGAACTGACAGGCTGTTTGTCTAAACTTTTTTTTTTTCACTGTTAATGAGAGTAAGGGAGTGTAAGGATATAATTCTGGTACTGTTTCCTTTTATATATCATCCCTGGTATCACCAATAGTTCACTAAGGGATGTGTACTATAGACAGGCCATTCACAAAGATCTATAAATTCACTTTTCATATAATTATACTAGCAACAATTATGTTTACAGATTAAAGACATATTTACTACTACATCCACACCCACACCCACATCCTCATCCTCATCCTATTGTTTCTCTCTTTTGTTCCCCCTTCACATCACTTCCCATTCCAAGCTTCATTACCCTTTTCCATTTGTCTAATAGCGCACTGATTGCATATTATAGCCATTACGATTGCTTACAAATAAAAAATTGTGTAGTGAAGTACCAAGTATTCTACTTGAATATATGCACAGTCAAATATTATTATAGGGTCATCTAGAATGTAAATATTAAGTTCTAGTTAATTGTTGAGTCTGAACTGTGGCACAGTGCAAGTAATAGACAAAATCACTATGGACTTAAGTTTTCAGATTGAACCATTGCAATCCTTTCCTTTAATTCCCAAAAGAATATATTTCTAAAGCATAAGTATACAAAATTTACTGAAAATCAAAGGGGGAAAAATTATTGTGCAAAACCATCAACAGTTCTTCCATGTTTAGATTTACCACTTTATCAACCATTAACTGCTTCTTTTGTGGTTAGTTTACAACACACTGAAGTTTTAGTATTAATGGAAGAGACACCTAATACCAAAATTGAAGAATCTGACCTTGCCATCCACCAGAACATAACATTCTAAGACACTTTTCTACAATAGTATTTCCTTTGCAAACTAATAATATGGGTAGTAGAGAGGCTGTAAAACACAAAAATTCCAGATGCAACATAACATGTAATCTTCCTGTGGCGGGATTAAAAAGACACAAAGTCAAGGTGATGAACCAATCAGATGGAATTGTAGCAGATGACGTAAGAGCAGGAAATCAAATGAGCATTGGGAATTGCTATTGGTCATGACATGACAATAGACACTAGCAATCAGTCTATTTAAGCTGATAAGATTTTTAAATAGATAATCATGTAACAATAGAAGCTGGACCCAAGGGAAACCAGTTGAAATTCTAATCAATTCCATCATGGGTAGGCTGTGTATAAGGTGCTGTTTTGCCTTTAACATGGCAATAAAGAAGAGCGGCAGATAGTGGTCACAATTTCCACCAATAGTGGCAACAAGGATTTTGACAACTCGCAGGCTGGGCATTGCAGATTTATTGGCCTAGGTAAGAAATTATCGGTGCAAGTTCCCAATATCTGTCCAGGCTCTGTTCTGCCAGAACATACAAAGTGAAGATTTTGTAGACCAGGCAGGGGGTAGGGGGTAGCACCCCCCTTAACCCCTTCCCGACGGGTCACGCCCTGAGGTGTCATAACAAACCACTCAACCTGTGGAGTGCGGTTGTACGCCACAGCAACGCGCCAAAGCGCTACAAGCCAGTGATTCAGCTTTCTTCACCCGTCATTAAGGGGTTAATAGGGAAATAGGTGGCAAAGCACCCTACATACCATCAATGTGTGTCACCAAAGCATAGTTGCCTGGGCTCTGTCGTGCCAGAACATACAATGTTTAATGTTTTAATAAATGTTAGACATCAAAGATCACATAGCATGGTAAAGTATTGTGGTGGGAGAGGTTTAAAAAGTTCTTTGTTTGAACAAAATATCTTAGAGTTCAACTGTCATATGGCATTATAAAAAAGTATGGTAGTAAAAGGACTAAAAAGAGGGGGAGTAAATAGGCTAGGATAGGAATTGATGGGAAGGGGATGGTTAAGTCAAAGGGTAATTAGATAAAATAGAGGGTATCTATGTGTCTGAAGAAAGAGAACAGAAAGAGGATTCCGTGAGGATGTTCAACAGGTTGGGGGGGTCGGGAAAGGGAGGACAAGTAAGAAAAAGCGAGGGTACAGGTTTCAGTAAAGCAGGGGCAGGGTAGAGGATATGGTGGTACTGAAAGGAGTATTGCATGTGAAGCATAGAGGCGAGTTGCATTGTGACTTGAGGTATGAGTGTGAGTCGACTGTGACCTACTCATAAACAAGCAAGGGCATTTTCCCAGCATCTGTTCTGGTGGTATGGGGAGATGGAAGGTTATATGGTTTGAAGTTTACTGCTGGTCAGACCTGATCAGAAAGATTGCCAATGGTTATAGAGGAAAATTTTGAAGTGCGGGTAGTAGACGGTGGCTAGAATATGTGTAAAGCAGGGTTAATGAGTTGTGCACAAGGTGCAAATCAACATAGCTGAGTATCCAGCAAAATTCTACTGCTTTCTGTTGTGTAGACAGATAAAAGAGCTGGTCATGTATCTTACAGACTGTAGGGTTGATAGGCTGTATGGGCTGTTTGAGTGATATTGAGTTGCACAAGACAGTGAAGATGGTAGAGGATGAGGAAGAGATGGAAGACATGCATTGTAAAGCAAAGAAGATAGCATATAGTTCTGTTGCAAGGATGCTCAATTCAGGAGGAAGGGGAAAGTTGCATGTGTAAGAAGGAAAGATTAGATCAAACCCAGGTAGAATTAGAACCATTTGTATAGACATGGGTACTGGAGGAGTAATTAGAACTATGTGCAAGAAAATGTGTGAGGAGGACAGAGGGAGGGATGCTTGATTTGGGTGGATCAGGGAAAACACTAGAACAATTACAGGAGGAGCATAGGGCAGAAAGAGGAAGGGATCAGAGATGAAGAATGGGTGCATGGGAAAGCAGTGTCCATATGAACAGGGAAAGGGGTAAGTAAACAGGGAGAGGAGGTGAAGGGATTGAGGGCAATTTGTTTGGAGAGAGAAAATTGATGAAAACTGGCATAGTTTCTTAGAGACAAGGAAGGGATGGTTGGCCTGATTCAGTATATAGGCATATTGGAAATATTGGAAAGGATCAGAGACCGCAACGATGGATTGTGTCACTTTGAGTAAGGAAGGTAACACATTAGCCAGATGTTAACCATTCTTTCCTGTACTTTGTATAGGTAGCTTTTAACCCCTTCCTGACGGGTGATACCGATAGGCGTGAAAACAAACCACTTGAAAGCTGGTGTGCGGCTGTACGCCGCGGCGGCGCACCAAAGCGCAGCAAGCCAGTGATTCGGGCTGATGTACCGAACTCACACGCTCAAAGCCGGTGCGCCGCCATTGTTTGCCAGAGCGTAGAGTTTTTTTTTTATTTTCTTCACCCGTCACCATTGGGTTAAGTGATACGGGATGGCAGTCTTGAGGAAGGGTACCAGGTTTGTTTGGTTTTTGAAGAGGTAGTACAAGGGCTTCTTGTACTACCTTAAGAGAGGAGTCAAGCTTAAGTAGTTTCTTTTGGAAAAGAAGAAATTTTTATGAGGAGGTGAAGAGGAGAGAGGCATCTGAAGAGTAGAGGATGTAGATGTGGGAAGGGATGTGGTAGAAGATGGGGTGAAAAGTATGGATTGTTTGATGTGATAGGTAAGGAGGAGGGAGAGATACTGGGGGAGTTGTGGATATTGGAAAAAGGATATGACTGGGAGATAGGGGGAGTAGAGGTAGAGCTCTCTCAAAAAAAAAAAAAAAAAAAAAAAAAAAAAAAAATTCACCTAGAAATTGGTGTTAAGGTGTCTAAGTTTAATAAAGTTTTTGTTATTCACATCATTTCCTATCACATGTAACTCTTTGTTATTGCATTGTGAAATATATAAGTCAGGCCTATATAACTGCTTGTTCTGTAGTGATTGAACCTTATTAAAACCCTAAGTGCACAATACTTAGCCTAGTTCATGCCACTTATTTCATATATTACTATTACAACCTTCTTCAAACATCTCCCATATAATGCAACAGCCATACCTGTCCACGGTCTGATCAAGGTTGCAGTGAAGTGCCGATTCCTTCTCACTGACTCAATGCATGTGCTGTCTTAATTTCCTTTGTTTGTAATCATTATTCCTTTCTTGAATAATCTGCCTCCCTTTTCTGTGCACAAAACAAAGTGTAAAGTTGTATAATCCTGGTAACTGCTATCAGTCAGCTTCTTCTTCTTCTTCTTTCTTGTTATTGGGTTTTAGACTATGTTTTCTATATCCCCTGGATCCGTTTTCTTTGAGCTGCTTGTTTCTTATATCGTATGAATTTATTTCTTTGTAGGAAATTCCGTCTCAATATGTAGGACTTTATTACTGACAGCTGAACTGCACCTGTAATCAAAAGATTTATATTAATATCTATATATCAATGTATCTGTGAAGTTGTTTTAGTTTTATTCTGTGGGAGTTGAGCTTAAACAGTGTAGTGACATGTGTTCAGTTGTTTCTTCTTGATTCTTGCATCATCTGTAGAATGGGTCATTTTCCATTTTTATTGTGTACATGCTGTTTTAGTCTTGTGTCTTTGGTTGTTATTCATTTATTTACTGAAAATTTTCTGTTGCATCAACATAAGGTCATTTGTGGTGTATACAAGACATAGTGATAGGATGGGGGCAGGAAAGTTTTTTGATTCAGTAAGGTGATGCTTGTGGATTTCCAGAACGGGCAATGGTCATAACAAACAAATGTACCAGGCATCAAAGGTCACACAGCATTATGATAAAGTATTGTGGCAAAAAGGGTAAACATGAGTTAACAATTTGGATAAGTGAACAGAAGGCGATGAAGAAGAGAAGGAAAAGGAAAGAGGGAGAAAAATGACCCTGCAAAATTAATTGAGGGTTGAGGGTCAAAGGCTGGGGTGATCCCAACCATTGGGCCTCAGTCTCCGCTTGCATAGGCCTAGTCTTCTGTATTTGGCTGTGGTCCATGATTTTTAGTTGTTGTCTCTGATAAAACAATTTTTTGTATTCAAGATTCTCTTCAAATTCAATTCTCATTATTTAAAATTTCATAATTTAATTTCTTTTACAGTGCAACTTTGGTCTTGTGGTATGAGTGTGGGGCTGTTTATTTCATGGGCAACTAGATCAGCAATTTCATTTCCCTTTTGTTGTTTTTATGCTGGGAGAGAGTGTACTTGTTTTATATTTTGTGTGTGTTTTGTTTATAATTAAATGGTATGGAGTTTTGTATTAATTGCAGTGGTGATTGCCAGTCTGTTTTTATTACTGTGTAAATTAGTTTGTTGTTTATTCTGTAATTCATTTCTCGTTTTATGGCAAATAGTTCTGTATGAGTGACTCCTATTTTGTGGGGTAATTTCCAAATAGTGGTTATATCTTCATTCTGGATAAAGATTGCTCCTGAGGCTGATTTTGGTTCCTTTATGTTTGTCATCAGTGGAAATTCTACTGAAATTTTTATAAGTAGTATTCATTAATTCTTGGTAATGCTTTTGAATGATTATTTAAAGAGTATTGTTTGTTATATTGTCCATAAAGTCTGTATGTTCTATGATATGTCATACCATAGGGGTATAGAGGATATATTTAGTATTATATTTGGAGTTATATCTGTCTAGGTTAAAGTTTGATCTTGTTTCAGTAACTCTGTACTGTTGACCTTTGAGAGTTATATTCTTTTATGCAATTTGTGAATTGTTGTTATTTGGTTTATTCAAGATTTTTGTCATTTGTATGACTCAAGTTTTTGTTTGTTAGTGGTGGAAGGCTTGTCAACACCTGTAGAGCTATGATTGGAGTTGATCCATAGACTGTATGTTAGTATCATTAAATTGTTCTGGCTGATAAATGTTCTTATGCTTTAGCCTATTATACGGATTTGCCTGTCACTAATTGTTTCACTGCAATATGGGTGATGAGCATTAAAATCTCCTATTATTAGACTAGGATCCAGGACTCAGTGTGTGTAGAATTCACATTCTTCTGTTTTTGTGTTGTCACATGGATTATATATCAGAAGGATGTAACAAGTCCCTACACCAGCTCATGGGGTAGAGTTGGCAGGACCATGTGTCTAACCGACAGCTACATTGTGAGACTGGCATGTCTCTTAATTTTAGTGAACTGTAAATCATTTTTGACAGATACAGTTTGACTGAGTTTATCTTTTCTTATTACTGTATAATTATTTAGATTAGATTTATCTTTTTCTATTAACCAAATTTCGTTTATGGTTATTTTCCCCAGATTTGCTTTGTGCATTAGATTGAGGGCAGAGGAGTGTGACCACAGCAGTCTCTGGTTGGTTCACAGAACTCAAAGATCTGATGAACCTAGTAGCTCTGTGGGAGTCCTTAAAGCATGAAACACTGAAAGCAGCGCAGGAGTCCACTGGCAAAAGCCCATGGGCAAGGCTGAATTTCATCTTGCTTGAGACATTGGAGGTCACAGAGGTATGTCGCATGGCTTAGCTGAATGGCAATCAGGAGATGTGCCATTTCTTGGTGCATAGGATTCAGACACTGCTGAGAAGGGACAAAAAAAAGTTCATCAGGAACTTTACTGGGGAGGTTGAAGGCCATCTCTTGGTAAATGACCTTCACCCTGCCTACCAAGCCCTGTGAAAACTGAACTGTCCATCAGGTCGTCTCTTTGTGAGACAATCCAGGGTGAAGGAGGCCCGTGGGATGCCTAGGAGGTCGTGGCTCGGGCAGCACAACCACTCCTGTCACTAGGAGTTAGAAATGCCTTGAGACTCACCATGAGGGACCCCCTTGGATGGAAGGGTGGATGCAGAAATGCACCCCCATCGGCATTAGCCCCCCGATGATGATTAGATATGTCAGTTTTCTTGTTCAATATGGACCTTGCATTTCATAGTACTAGAATATTCCTTTTAAAAAGTCAAAGATCTTTAAGGATATTCCTCATTTCCTTTTTTATTATCATTTCTGTTTTCTTGGTCGATAGTTTTTTTTTTTTTTTTTTTTAATGTGTTTGTTAGTATCTGTCCTGTCATGTCATCTGTTGTGTATATGTTCAATCACACTTGCATAGTTTGGTACTGTAATTAATGCTGCTCTTATTTCCACACTTCACACAGTAAACAGGTTCACTCAACACAATCACTTATGCAAATGTCAATAAGTTTCACTAAAAATTTCCACTATATTGGCTAAAAAAAAGGCCTATCGTGATCACACTAACCACACGGTGACTCTCAAAGAATAGCTGAGGAACTATCAAAGCTCCTGGTTGGGAAAATGTGCATGCACGAAAAGTTGCCTTTCAAAAAATCTAAAATGATTCATAACAGCTTTACTTTATTTTTGTAGAAGATTGCATAAATACACAAGATGCTAAAATATAGTAGAACTGACAGGTACAAACAAGCAGTAACACACAAACTAGTTGGCATGTCGCAGTAATGAGGAAGACCATGGAGTAAACATGTAGAGCAAATTAGAAATTGCTTCGAGGCAGTAAGTTTAACATGCTTCTTATAACCACAATACGACAGTAAGTTTAACATGCTTCTTTAACTATAATATGTGAGTGCACTCAATTTTTTCACTTTCATGGTATTAACTACATCATCTATAATGGGAATACATGTACATTTTTAAGACACAGCACGCACTGATATCCTCCAGTTTAAGTGATTCACTTCCTAATGTTCTTATTTTATCTTTGATGCTTTCTAGATTTAGTTCTGGTTCAACTGGGAAGATTATTTCATGGTTACATAGTTGACTCTGGAATGAGGCTTCTATGAAGCCTGTACATCCAGCTCTTAATTTATAATTACACAATGTTGCTGAGCTCATGAGGTTGGAAAGGTAGTAGTGGTAGTATAGGAACAGTGTGTAGGTTAATTAGGCTGTTTGCATCCCTCCTGTATCCCCACTCCATTAGCACTTCCTGCCTGGCTGTGTGAGGGTGCTGTGGATATTTTCCTTCCTTTGTGGTAGATATGTGGCCAGAGCAGCTGTACCTCTGTTGTTCATTACTATTTCACGTGTTATGCTTGTGATTTTCTTATCCATTTCCCTCTACCTGTGCCTCGCTCTTGGTGGCATTAACCCTCTACTCCTTGTGCTTTACAAGATGGCAGTGTCCATTTCCCTCTGTCGCTGTGCGTCGCTTTGGTGGCATTAACCCTCTATTCCTTATGTTTTATAGGATGGCAGTGTCCATTTCCCTCTATCTCTGTGCGTCGCTTAACCGTTAGTTTCAATGGATTGTTGATATTTGTGGCTGTAGATCCATCTAATAAATGAAGATGTGCTACAAAATTTTCTTTCCCTACCTCCATGTTTTAGACTAGAGCTTGTTGGTTGGGGTTCTTCCGGTGTTTTCCTTCCGGCGTCTGTTATTCTCTTCTTTTGAAACTGTATTTTCTTGTTATCACTCTCTAATTCCACTCCTGTTCAATATGCTTTGTCCACACATTGGGCAGTATCCGTTAGATCAGATTTCACCACCTCACTTGAATGTCGCCGCCCGTCACCCAGGCAGTGTCGAAGGGCTGTGGTGGGCGTCGCGTTGGCTCTCGTCAGCGGCGTGCGGGAAGCGGACGCAATTTCGCTTCAATTATAAACAATGTTCAGACAAACGTTTTATAATCCTCGTCTCTCATTACCCACAAGCTCTAGCGTGCGTAAATCGCTGAGTTCAAGCGCCAAGAAAGCTAATTATCAGTATAAGTTAACACGTCAACACAAATAAATTAGGCCTCACACGTCAAGGAGGGACACGTGGCTTGGGCGCTCGTGCCTTACGACTGCGGTCATTATACCTGTTATTCCTCCTCTTCGCTTTATAATTTGCGTGTCCTGCTTGCCACACTTTGCCATTTTCTAGTTCATGGCAGAGCGGTAAAGACGTGAAATACACTAATTTTGCATGGTATACAGAGCGGCGTGGGAATACCCGAGAACAGTATTGATGGATTCGGGTGTATTGCATTTATTTATTTACCCTCTAAGAGCATGACAGCCATGACCAATTGCTACGCAATAAATAGTCATCACGGATGATTGATACTAATACACTTTCATGTGCAACATCTTCGCAGACTGAAAATAAGAGACTGCAAACTATTTGTCACGTCCCTTGGAATCACATCAGTCACCATGGGATCCACACTTTGGGAACATAAGAGTATTAACTTATTTCTTATTTAATGACAAGTTCCTAAACAGGTGTGCAGGTTTTGCTTTACCAGAATTTGGTGACTGGAGTGCAGCCTTTGAGTCACTGGCTTCATTGTTGATACCTGATCATCTTGTCCAAATTCAGTCATATGTCAGTGAGGGTCAGTGAGGGTCTGATAGAGAAAGGTAAATACCTTTATAGAAAGGTAAATACCTGATATATACAATATTGTATATTTCACTCTACCTTTACACTTTCCTGTTTATGGACCAGTGCCATGTATATTTTACTCTAGGCATGACCTCATTAATAAGTTTAAAGACCCCCATCCTGAATTCTATCAAAGAGAAAAAATATATTTCTTATATGTGTGTGTGTGTGTGTGTGTGTGTGTGTGTGTGTGTGTGTGTGTGTGTGTGTGTGTGTGTGTGTGTGTGTGTGTGTGTGTGTGTGTGTGTCACATACACACACATACAATACATATATCTATATAATTACATATATATTTAATTAAATAAATATATACTTTTTTTTCATCACTATTCTGAATTTTTCCCCTTATACTACCACAGTCTTGTTTTTCTTGTTTAGAAACTTATAATAATGCTTTCTTACCAAGTTTTTGGAAAAAAATAACAAAGAAAAATGCCATTATAATGAATTATTACTAAAGGTTTTGTGGAATAACCTTTGAAAAGGTATCATTTGTTATGCCAGAAAAGTCTTTTGTTGCTAATTTAGTCTGATTTTAATAACATTAAATGTATTTTTGTACTTTTTCCCCTTAACTATATTATAACTTATTGGAAAGCTAATTTGTCATTTGTTGCTAATTTAGTCTGATTTTAATAACATTAAATGTATTTTTGTACTTTTTCCCCTTAACTATATTATAACTTATTGGAAAGCTTATAATGTAAGCTTTTTTAGATTCATTATTTCCAGCATGTATTTATTTCAAGGAATGCTTAAGAGTTGCCATCATTTCTTTCATTAGATCTCCAGAAAAGTGAATCAGAAAAATTTAAACAGCCATTGTATTCTAGAGTAGACGAGTGAAGTGAGTGGCATTATAACAAAAAAAAAACATTTGAAGATGTAATTACAGTAGGCATCATAAATTAGAAAAGATGAATAGGTTTAAGGAGCCTATTAGGATCATGAATGTTGTAGCTTGATAATTTAGGATCATACTGTGGTTAAAGTCATCTGTGAATGTTAATAAGCAACAGTCTGACAGATTAAAAATAATATCAGTTTGTAGGATTAGTTTTCCAACAAAGATTATCTTTTAAAATCATCACTTATTAAATCTGACTGTAAAAGGCCTACTACTGACAATGGTATTTGTTTTTCAGAGTGATACCATCATAATTAACATTTGGCCATTATGGATGAAGAGAGCCTTGATGCAGAGCTGCATGTGAAGACAGGAGAAGATGGGGTGGAAATTAAGGACATTTGTGAGGAAACTTACCCAGAATTAAAGATTGAAAATGATGTTTGCCTGAATGCAGTTGATAATATTTATATAAA